CCCCAAAACCCCAAAACCCCAAAACCCCAAAGAGCTAAGATAGATATTTGCCATAAATTATTATCTAAAATATTAAATTAAAGATTAATTTTTAATAATTTTATAAATTCAAAAGGAATGGTATTATTATCCAAGTGTAGTAAAGGGCTTTATACCTTAGTTCTAAGTTTGGCTCTCGCTCTATTAGTTAATACTTTTAAGATCACTGATGAGACCAGTACCTTTTAATGATTATTAATCAAATTAAACTATAGCTCACGAAGTGTTGCTGGAGTAAAAGGATGCTATCAAGGCAAGGAAAGAGTCTGAGATACACGACGATGAGAGTCACAACGAGGAGGATGTCAATCATGGTGAATATGACGATGATGACAAAGACTTAGAGGAGTTTGATAAGGAATCAAAGTTGGAGCACAGGTACTTTGATGCTGATTAGAATGCCTTTATTGAGGAAGTTGGAGATGAGAATGGAAATGGCTACTATCAAAAGAAGATTATCAAAAATGGTCCTGGGTTTTAATCAGTGACTATAGTATCACGAGGAGGTGGTGGAATGGGTGGACCTGGAATAGGGATAGGATTACCAGGGTTAAGTATAGGGATGCCTGGACCAGATGATATACTTGGAGCTATCTTAGGTGATGTTCTTGGTGCGTTTTAAATGGAAGATGATGATCCTTAGCAGAATGATGGTTCAGATCAATAATAGCAATAGTAGTAGCAAGACTTATTCAATCCTCTAGAGTAAATGGCAAGGATGATGGCTATGGCATAGTAGTAAAGAATGATGATGATGCAGAACGCATTCAGAGCAGCTTTTGATGATTCCCCTTCTTAATAGCAATAACCACAGCCAGGTGAATAATTGGATCACGCAATGGTTCCGTCACTCAAAAAGGCTGATTCAGAGGAATAATCCAAACAATAGTAAAAAGCAGAGGATGATGAAGATAACTCATGGCAAGAGAATGTCACTCCTTAAAATGAAGAAGCAGTAAATAAAAATTAGAGAAGAATGGAGGAGATTGCCAAGTCTTAGTAGAAGATTAAGAATGATTCGCTAAAAGGCAAAAATGATCCCTTGGGAACAAGATTTTCACCAATAAGCGAGAAGGAAAAGTCGAAGAGAATAAAGAACGCTATGGTCCTCTCTGCAATTGCATTTGTGGTGTTATTCGGAGCATTAGTCTTCTTCCTTTTAAGTTGCAGGATGAATGCTAATAACGTCAAGAAAGTTAATGATGGAAATTAAAATCAAACCGAGTCTGCCGAGTAAACTCAGCTATAGATAGATGAATTCCAAAAGAAGAGCCTTAATAAAAACGATTGAAAGTCTTTTTATCTATCACTTAACCTAAAGACATTGACACATAATAAGTAAATAAGTTAATTATTAGACTTTCTTTATTAGCAGATTTAATTAGCAATAGTTAAAGAGTCGGCCTTAGTTTCACTTCATTGTAATGAATGAATAATGTATAGTTAGCTAGCTAGTATAAGAATGTTTAATTTATTTATTCCATTATTATACCCTTAAATTAAGAAATCTCACAAGGTGGGGTTTTGGGGTTTTGGGGTTTTGGGG